GAAAAGAAAATGGAGAATGAAATGGAAACTAGGGAATATATGGGGATTATTAGGGTTTAGGGTTTAGGGTTTATAGTCCCCCTTAAGTAGATAGAATATGGTTTTGGGTATATTGTAATAACGACATGAGATCTTCATATACACCATATTCCATCTACTTGAGGGGGACAATAGGGCTTTGTGTGGAGATTTGGGTTCAGCGGTTGAGGGTTCAGGGGCTTAGGGTCGAGGGCTCAGGGCTTGCGGCTTAGGTTTTAGGAGTTGGGGGGTGTAAAGGGGCCCCCTAAACCCTGAACCCTAAAATCCTACTTGGAGCGCTTCAGGTCTCCTGCCAGCGGCATCCCAGAGAAACCCCGGACCCTAACCCCTAAGTTGCATTTTGGGGGGATCTTCTGCGTGTTCTTGCGCCCGTAGGCTGACTTTCTAGGGGTTTAAGCTGTAACTTTAGGTTCATGTTTGAAGGGACAGCTTGTAACAAAGAAAGGGTGCTTCAAAGTTGACTTACTAACAGTAACAACTATCGGGCCTGTAACCCTACTTGGAATTGATCCCCTTTAGCTGGAATTATAGGCAGGGCTATCGGCCGCTTGTGGGCAGTTAATAAGTCCCATGAACCCTCAGGCAGTTAACAAGTCCCATGAACCCTCAAGCACACCCTCTACAATGTATCCCTAAATAAGACCAAAACCTGCTTTATCCCATATAACCCCTTTACATATCTCATATAAACCCTCAAAGGAGCCCGTAAGGGCATAGCAATCCTAAATCCTAAACCCTACGCCCGAAACCCTAAACCGCTCCCCTATTCTTTTGACGCAGCCGGGATTAGAACTTTGGGGTGAATTGTAGTTTCCCGAAACAGGGGTTCTCAATATACACCCCCATATATTATTTAGACATAGGGTTTAGGGTTCAGGGTCTGGGGTTTAGGGTTTTGATAGGGGTCCCCACTACAGACCGCAACAGATTATAGTCCCCGTTAAAGGCACCCCCAGAAAGGCACCCGGAAAACCCCCGGATCTCCCTAAGCCCTAAGCCGGCTTAGTGTCTAGGGTTTAGGGTCTACCTAGACCTCCCCAGTACGCATTTGTTATGGCCCTTAACGCCTAATACTGAGTTTAAAGGCTGGTGTTCTCTGATGTGGGTATTTGGGAGGATTAGGTAACCCATTCAGACGGACATAAAACGTTGAATCCCTAAACCCTAAGCCTTGAACCCTAAATCCTAAACCCTAAATCCTAAATCCTAAACCCTAAACCCTAAATCCTAAACCTTGAAGCACTGTCGGGCTGACAGGCGACGTGCGTTTCCAGCAGCCCATGCAGCAGGCAGCAGTGTCTAGGAAGCCCAGTTGTAGCATTTTGCCACCTTTTTTGTTGTGGTTTTGGTGGTTTTGGGGTTTGCGGTTTTTGGGGTTTTGGGGTTTGGGGTTTAGGGTTAGGGGTTTAGGGTTCAAGGTTTAGGGTTTTGGGTTTTGGGTTTGTTTATACATCCCGTTACCCTACACCCTAAATGTACCCTGATGGTCAGGTGGTTATTGGGTTACCAAGGTGTCACTGATTTCCGCAACCCTTCAGATGCAACAGCTGGCCTCCCAATGGAAGGCGAAACGATTCTTGGTTGCGAAAGGAGAGGAAGATTTAAAGTACTGCAAAAGATAAGCTTAAGGTTCACATCCTTCGTGTTTCTTATTCCTGTTTCCCTTCCAAGCACCAGTAAGGATTTCTGTTTGTATCCACAGCCTTCGTACACGCAGTGCCACCGCCCAGCACGGAGGCATTGCAGGAGAGGCTGGTGGAGCTCAGGGATTTCGATGCCATGGAACTGTACCGGGATGCCATGTCCCATGGTCGCTGGGCCCAAACAGCCATGAGGGAGTTGGGCTTTCCCAACACCTACACCTTTTGCAAGGCGGTCGCTGCTTGGTGGCAGTTCATGCGGAATGTTGACATGAATTATTCTAATATGAAGTTGTACTTGCTATAATCCATTCCTTCATTCCCTGATAAACCCTAAAACAGTCAACAACCCGAAACCCTAAAATCTAGAGCCCAAAGCCTATAAACCCTAAACCCTCCTGAATGCCGAGCTAATATACTAGTTCCTATACTCCATTCCTTCATTCCTTACTAAGCCCTAAACCCTAAACCCTCCTTAAGGCTGAGCACTTGGTGATCCGCGCCTGCGACTCCGAAGGTCTGGATGTAAGGATCGTCCGCCCTTCGATTGTTGGGCCTGCCTGGGCATGCCCATACATCGGATGGGCTGGGGATACCTGGATCATTGTTGAACACATTTTTTGGCTTTGTTATGTTTAAAGACGGGGATGCCCAGGTCATTGCTGAACATATTTTCCGTTTTGTTGCATGTCTAAATATTTTGGGCCAGTGGGGAGGTAGATACTCAGTGACACTTGCAGGAAGGCTGCTATGATCAACATACTCTGGTTCGAAACCCGGAAACAGCGAAGCAACATTCGTTTCTGGAACGCGCTGCAAGCAACGAAGGATAAGCCCTCCACCATTGTGGGTGCAGGGACGCTCCTTGCAAGGCGCGGTGTGCGAGTCTTCCGAGACGCCTTCGACCATCCCTGCCCTGTGGTGCCGGTGGACATGGTTGCCGACACTAGGGTGGTTTAGGGTTTAGGGTTCAGGGTTTGACTTATGCGGTTTGCCTGGATCCTCCAAACATAGGATTACTACCCCCCCCCAATGTACACCCTCCCCACCAACTTCTAAGGCCTCAGAAGCTCTAACAAGCCTGAAAAAGTAAGATATACACTTTAATAGTCCCCAAGAATCCTCAAAATGCCCCATACTAGCCCCAGGATCTAATGTAGCACCTTGGGTTTGAGCCCTCATGACAGGGTTTAGGGTTTAGGTTTTTGGCTTTAGGGGCAGACCCAAGAAATCTGTACCAAACCTCGAAGCAAATTATGCTGTAGGGTCCAGGCAGAATTAAGTGAAAATCCTGAATATCAGCTGCAGAAGTGTAGCTGAGGCAAAAAAAGGGGCCCAGTTCTGAAGAATGGACTGCTAGGATCCAATACAGACCCAATATAACTCCTAAGAAGCAGGGCTCCAAGGTGGGGCAAGTTGGATCAGAACTGAATTTCCGGGTCCTAACATAGGTTTTGGGGGGATATGCGAGCCCGGAGAACCCTGAACCTAAACCCTTAAGATCCTAAACCAAAATTGCCTACACCGAAACCAAGGACATCACGGTGAAAGCATTGGGCGGGGCCTTCAGCAGCGAGCATGGCCGAATCTTCCAGGTGCTTCAGAAAGCGTAAGAAATTGGATTAGGTGGGGGGCCCTTCAAAGTGTGTGTGTATGTATGTATGTGTAGGGGTTATATACCTTGTACCCTTGAAGAGGATACATGCGGATATGTGGGGTCCTGTTTTTGTAAGGGGTATGGGGCTTATGTAGCGGCTTCCAAAAAATGGAGCCTGGCTTAACAGTCCTTATGATAAGGATTGGGATTTATGTTTGGGGCCCTGATCTGGGTGGTTGTTCAAATTCTGGTCCCTTCTTGGGTACCCTATATATAGGGATTATAGGGACTATATTGAGTTTTTAATGGGGATAATGGAAAAGAAGATGGAACCTACTATATTGGAGTTATTTATACCCTATTAGTCCCTTCTTGGGTACCCGAAATATTTGGGGACGTATTATAAGAGGGATCCAAAAAGGGAGCATAATGTTGACAACCACCCATCTACGGAAAGAACACGTCTGGTGTTTCTGGGTGTGGGCCTCAAGGGTTCGGTGCTTTCAGCGTTCAGGCTTCACGTGCCTAACTTAGAATGACTTTATAGGCTTAGGGTGACACTATACATCAAAAATCCGCGGGTTACAAGGGATGATCCAAGTAGTAGTTCTTTGTGGGTCCCTTCTGTGGATGCAGGAATCTTGCACCACGATATATACCCTATACACTCAGAGCTACATGATTTTTAGTTAGGGCAGAAGATGTATTTACCAAAGCCCTAAACCCTAAACCCTAAAAATCTAAGGTGTACGGCTCTCTCACCTTGCCTCAGCTTAGATTTGTGGTGCATATAGAATCTAGGGTTTAGGGTTTAGGGTATGGGCGACGGACTAAAGTTTGATTCGCGGGCACATATAGGGGAGTGTATAGTGGGTTGAAGGGGACCTTTAAGGGACATACCACGGCTGTAGTCCAGGGCTCATACGGTACCAAAAATACCTTAACGTCCACTTTGGAATGGTTGTATATCCGCCAGGTTTTTGACGTTTGGGGACATACACTCTGTCAACGTAACATGGAGTCCGCATGGGTCCCTTTGGAACGGACAGTAGTGTACCTAAGGCTGTTTCAGGTTCCATATTCTACGCTGAAAATAAATGGTGGTTTCCCTTCATTATAGGACCCCAATGTAGACCCTCAAAAAAAAGAAGCTTATTATTGGAGTCCTCAAAGAGGCATACCTGATTTTGGTAAAATTGCAAGTTATGGCAGCCTCACCTGACCTCACCGCAAAGGTAACCCTAAATCCTAAGCCCTAAACCTTGAGGTTTTGGACTTATTGCGCGCTACACATAAGTAGGGGATTTCTCGCCAGAAGTTAGTTTGGCAGAATCGGATTTAGGGTTTATGCTTTAGTGTTTAAGGTTTAGGATTTAAGGTCTAGGGTTGAGTTCCGAAGCTCATGAAGCAGGGGCAACTTGAACCTCTATGGACGAACCGAACCCTAAACCCTAAACCCTGAAGCCTATACATCTACATACGCGCAGTATCACACAATATAAACGCACATACCGCCTATGCTGTCTTGTGATTCTGTATATCCTCGCATTTCCTGTTCTTGTAGAGACTTTTAAGAGTGATTGCAGCTGGCACTTTGGGGGGGGGGGGGCATTTTTAGATTGTTGTACAAAGGCACCTACTCAAAAGTAAAGTTGGCCGCCTTCAAGGTACCACCCAGTAAGCCTGTAGCTGTACATCCCAAACC